AGAGGGAGCCCTCTTCTCAGTTGCAGTGTCACGGGTCCTTTTCAAAGGATATTGGGGCTGCTTTGAAAGTTCGCTTAGAAATTTCGGGGCACAATCTGTCATACACCTACAGGTTTTCCGTATGGGTTTTAAAACTGAGGACTAAAGAGTTTTCGGGTAAACGTTAGGAAGAGCTTCCTGAAAGTTAGAGCAGTTCCTCAGTGGAACAGGCTTACTCAGGAGTAGGTGGGCTCTCCTTCTGTGGAGGTTTTCAAACAGAGGCTAGATGGCCATCTGACAGCAATGCGGATTGTGTGGAATCCTGATCTCCACTTTGGAGTCAGGAAGTGATTTTTCTCCAGGCCAGTTTGGCCAGGAATCCTGGAGGAGTTTTTTTGCCATCTTCTGGGCATGGAATGGGGGTCACTGGGGCTGTGGGGGGGGAGGTATTTGTGAATTTCCTGCATTGTGCAGGGGGTTGGACTAGATGACCATGGAGGTCCCTTCCAATTCCATGAGTCTGATTCTCTGACTATAATGGAATCTCCCTGTGAATGTGGAAGAAGCTTTTGGCACCTGGAATGGCATCACAACTGGGTTTCAGCTGGGGTTACCTCAGTAAAGCCTTCTTCCTCGTTGAAAACCTTCTGGAGGATCATCTTCATGCTCTCCCTCTGTCTAGACTTCCATCGTCTCCCAACCAGGATATAAATAGCTGGGTTTACACTGCTGTTTAAACAGGGTAATAACATTGTACCCCATAATACGTCTAATGGTAAGTAACTGGAAATATAGAGGAGGAACGTGACATTGAATGGAAAAGCAAAGAGGAGGAAGAAGAGAAGAGTGAGCAAGATCATGGTCACAAGCTTCCCCTTCTGACGCTGTCGTGCTTTCAAACAGACTTTGATGAAGAGGGACATGGTGGCAATCAACATGACCGGGAGGCACAGCAGGGCATTCGCAATAAACTGGTAATAGTCTCCAGTCATTGTTTCATTTAAATTAAGATATATGAGAGTGTAGGTAATTGCAGTAAGCAGGAAGGCGAGGACCCAAATCAGTGCACATACGATGGTGGACAAATGCGGTGGCTGGTGGCATCGGTGCCAAAGTGGGAAGAAGACGGCCACACACCTGTCAATGCTGATAGCCGTCAGGAAAAACTGACTAGTGCTGTACATCGATAAAAATAGGAACAAGAACACTAGGAACGTAATGGGAGAGTCATAAGGGAATACAATCCACAGATTAAGAAGAACAAACGTAACTGTGAGAAGGACGCCCAAATCAGCGATGGCCAAGTTGAGGATGTAGATGCTGAAAGGATTCCTCTTCATGCGGAAGCCGAGAAGCCAGATGACAATCCCATTTCCCACGGCTCCAGAAATGCAGATGACCAATATGGAGATACCAATAACTACATTATGGATACTCTTTTCTCTTCCAAAATCAGTGGTATTACGGGATGAAATCTCTTCTGAAACATTCTCATATTTGGTACCGTCATTTGGAAAAGAAGAGTAAGTATAAGTAGAATCAGCAAAATAATCCAGGGCAGCATCCATAATGGGAAGGGTTGTCTGACTGATACTGGTTATGATGCTCAATTTCTTCTTTCTGGATTTTGGTCTTGACTTGTCTTTACATCTCTGTTAGGAGAAAGGAAACAGTGAATGATTCAGTCCTTCATTTGAAAACGCACGTCTAAAAGTTTCAGGCTGGGGTTGCTGAAGTTTTCAGCCTTGTGTTCCTCAGTCCATTGAAAAATGGGTTGTGGTGGCTCCATTGTGGCTCCTACCTTATGGAATAGCCTGCCTAGGAAGTCAGGAGGCCTCCCACTATCCTGGCTTTCTGCAA